CGACACCGTCTTGACGTCGGCGGCCGGGGCGCCGACGACGTCGGCCGACTGGAACGTCCCGTCCCAGAGCGGCGCGTTGCGGATGACCGACTCGAATGGCGGACCGAGGAGCGCGACCACGCGATCCAGCTTTGACGCCTCAAAGTCCTGTATCCACAGCACCGACCGGATGCCAGTCGCGTACGGCCCCTCGACGAAGCCAGTCTTGACGGCAGCGCCCGTCGCAGAGGTGAGCGCCGTCGGCCAGCTCTCCGCCGCAGTCGCGGCTGCGTCGCAGGCGAGAGCCCAGGCGTCGAGGTCCGCCGGTCCGCCGGCCGTGCCGTCGAGCGGGAGTGAGGTGGCACCACTGGGCGAGGACGAGGCAGCTGCCATCGCTTCACGCTTCTTCGCGAGGTAGGCTTGGCTCGGAGGGTCCGTCGTGGGCTTGGTCATCGACTATGGGCGAAACAAGACCAACCAACCCAACCTGGGAGGGAGGGGCCAGCCAGTGGCGGCAGACCCCCTTGCTATCCGGGTTGGAGCCGGAACGGCGACTCCGAAAAATAAATACTAGGCTACATATGGGAGAGGTAGAGTCCTAGTCCTTCCAAGATCCTGCTCGTGCAGGTGGGGGGTCATTTTCGATTTACGGTTTTTTTATTTATTATGGGGGAGGTAGACGGCTGAGGGCAAACCTGGGAGACGGCTAGAACACGCTCCTTTCCTAAAATCTCTGTGTGCGGCCTCGCGTGAGTGTTTTCTTTCTTTCTTTAGTCGAATGGTTGTGTTTCGCGTCGTGGTTTCGTACCCCGCAAGGCGCGCGATACTCGAGTACACCTCGTATCAAGTTCCTGGCTACTCAATCACTCAAATCCTTGGGCTCGACCTCTCTGCTCTCTCTCACAAATCTCTCTCCGCCAACAACGCCTCGCTCGCTGCCGCTGGTCGACTATCCGCCTCCATCCTCTTCGCCCTCGCCGCCGCCGGCCCCGCCGCCGTCCGCCTCGCCCTCACCTCCGCCCTCGCCGCCTCCGCCCTCGCCGCTGCCATCCCTCCCATCGCCGCTGCCAACGCCACCGCCAGCACCGCCAACAACGCCTCGCTCGCTGCCGCTGGTCGACTATCCGCCTCCATCCTCTTCGCCCTCGCCGCCGCCGGCCCCGCCGCCGTCCGCCTCGCCCTCACCTCCGCCCTCGCCGCCACCGCCCTCGCCGCTGCCATCCCTCCCATCGCCGCTGCCAACGCCACCGCCATCACCGCCAACAACGCCTCGCTCGCTGCCGCTGGTCGACTATCCGCCTCCATCCTCTTCGCCCTCGCCGCCGCCGGCCCCGCCGCCGTCCGCCTCGCCCTCACCTCCGCCCTCGCAGCCTCCGCCCTCGCCGCTGCCATCCCTCCCATCGCCGCTGCCAACGCCACCGCCAGCACCGCCAACAACGCCTCGCTCGCTGCCGCTGGTCGACTATCCGCCTCCATCCTCTTCGCCCTCGCCGCCGCCGGCCCCGCCGCCGTCCGCCTCGCCCTCACCTCCGCCCTCGCCGCCTCCGCCCTCGCCGCTGCCATCCCTCCCATCGCCGCTGCCAACGCCACCGCCAGCACCGCCAACAACGCCTCGCTCGCTGCCGCTGGTCGACTATCCGCCTCCATCCTCTTCGCCCTCGCCGCCGCCGGCCCCGCCGCCGTCCGCCTCGCCCTCACCTCCGCCCTCGCCGCCTCCGCCCTCGCCGCTGCC